GATCATGATGCTGTGTGTTTTAGTACACAGTAGGGCACAAAATTGTGTAGCCGGGCAAAAAAATGGAGAGGTATAGAAGATTTTTTTTTTACTGTGCCTTTCTCCTTTCAGCTGCCAGTGACTTTTGAGGAGGTGGCCACGTGTCTCTTCCAGGGAGAATAGAATCTTCTAGATCCAGCCTACTGAGTGAGGACATCGTGCTGGCGATTTTTGGGGGCCAAGTCTCTCCAGGTAAGGATCTCTTTGCCTCTTGGGCATCGATAGGGAGGTCCCTTTCCCCTACCAAAATTGTAATGACTCTAGCAAGGGTGTGCTTCCCTTCCCCTTGTAACATAATCTACCCAGATATCTGCCATTTTATCAATCCTTTACGTATTTACTTTAACAATACACTTTAGCCTGTCATTAGTAGCTATATTCCATTCTTCTTTATCCCTTTTATTTTAATTGAAAATCATGTTTCCTTTCCCTGTCCTTTCTTGTCACGGATCTTGCTGCTGTTAATGTATCCCAAATTAATAACATGTTTCTTTAACTCTCCTCTAACGTCCCTTTTTCTCCTCTTACTAGATTGTCTGGGGAAAAAATGTTCTCAGAGTTTGAACCTCGTTCTAATGGTTTCGTATCCCACCACATTACTATATTTCCTCAAATTAGGAAGCCTCAGCTCTCCTACTTTTGAGCTTCTTCTTAATCCTTGCCTTTTTATCACCATTTCAAAATTAGTTTGTCTATTGAAATTTATTATTATTTAATTGCTTATATGGGACCTTTCTCCTTATAGGAGACCGAAGGCAGCTCACGTATATTAAGTTTCAGAAACAAGATAAGAATAAAGACGTTTGAAGATTTGTACGTTCGAAATGAGCATTACTGATTAAAAGCCTTCCTGAAGAGGAAGGTCTTTGCCTGATGATGGAAGGACAAGAGGGAGGGGTACAACCTGGCTTCTCAGGGCCGTGGATTTCAGAGTCTGGGAGCTGCCACTGAGAAGGCCCTGCCTCGTGTCCTCCCCAAGCGAGTTTGGAAAGGTGGTAGAATCGAGAGCTGCCCCCACCCACCCACAGAACATCTTAAAAACTGAGAAAGCTCATATGGGGTGATGCAACCCTTTGAATAACCTGGACCCAAGCCATATAGGGGCTTTAGAGGCAATGACCAGCAATTTGAATTGGGTTCAGAAACAGATCGGCAGCCAGAAAAGCTGTTGTGATCAGGGAGTTCCACGCTCCCTGCTCTTCAGTTATCTTTGTCAGTAGCGTCCTAAATAAATATTATTCTGGGCAAAATCTTCATTTTAGTGACTTCTGTTCTATAGTTATCTAATTTATTTTTCATTTCTTACTTCCGTTTTTAAAAATTTTCTTCTTTTAATATTCCTGAATTCATAGGAATATTTATTTAAATACTTTGAATCGTAATGTCATTTTTCCTCATTTATTCTTTTTCCTGCTTGCTTCAATTAAACATCATCATCTCTGATTTATGCCAATTTATCTGTGACCCTGTTATCTCTCCAAATTGTCTTCATTGTAGCTTTACTCTGCCTGTAACTCTTAATGGGTTTCCTGTGGTTAAGGATGAGTTCTCAGTGAACAACTATTCTTCACCCTATGATTAATCCTTATACCACAAATTGATTTATCTTCTCCAATAACATTTGCCAGCAATTCTATAATTAAAACAATATTGGGGAGAAAGCACGTCTCTGGCTAGTACCATGACCTGAGGGTATCTGCTCTTTTTTGCCCTCATTTTCCAGATACGGTTTTCTCTGAATATAATTTGATGGTTTGTTTAATTTAATGAATTAATTCTGGACTGCCTTTCTCTCAGTAAGGGATCCAAGGTCACTCACAAAATATTAAAAAGAACAGAATTAAAATCATAATTTTGTTGTTGTTTAGTTGTTAAGTCGTGTCCAACTCTTCGTGACCCCCATGGACCAGAGCACGCCAGGCCCTCCTGTCTTCCACTGCCTTCCGGAGTTGGGCCAAATTCATGCTGGTAGCTTCGGTGACCCTGCACAGCCATTTCGTCCTCAGTCGTCCCTTTCTCCTCTTGCCTTCACACTTTCCCAACATCAGGGTCTTTTCCAGGGAGTCTTCTCTTCTCATGAGAGCCTCAGCTTCAGGATCTGTCCTTCCAGTGAGCACACAGGGTTGATTTCCTTTAATTCCTTAAGTATAATTAGTTAAACATCTGCCTTTAAAAGGCGGGTTTTCGGCTGTTGGTAGAAGGTTAAAAGGGAGAAGAGTCAGCCTGATCTACTGAGGGAGGAGAGGGTCCCATAGCCTGGGAGCTGCCCCAGAGAAGGCCCTCTCTCAGGTTCCCATCGGCTGTGCCTCTGCTGGCCACGGGACCAAGAAGAGGGCCTCCTCTGAGGAGGATCTGAAATGCTGAGAAGGCTCCTCTGGGGAGCAAGCCCGATAGTGCTTTGTAGATGATGACCAGCACTTCGAATGGAACCTGGAAACAGACTGGCCCCCCTCCGTCGCATCCTTCTGTCGTCAGGCAAAGGCCGTCCTTTTCAAGCAGGTTTGGGAACTTCAGCCAGCTCAAAATGCAAACAGCCCCATGGCTGACCAGTTTGGTCTTCCGTCTCTTTCATCTGTTTTTCTCTAAGGCTAGTCCTTCTCATAACTAGAGTATCCCATGTAATACATTTACTACATTACTCTTTATTGCTCATCGTCCATAATGCCTTTTTTTATAGTACCTTATCAACTATATTCTTTTGGTGGAAACAACCTGCGTCTGTCTTCCATCTTTTAGCTTGTAATATTTTTTTTCATGAAACTTAATGCAGACCATAAGGTGTCATCCATGTGCAGAAGACACACAATTCTTTTCTCTCTGTGGCCACCTTTGCAGTGGATGTCGTCCAGACCCTTGAGTGTAGCCTGGCTTTGGGACTGGGATGGCCCAGGGCTCACAGGCTCGGGTGGAACCCAAACAAGATGGAGAACGCAGGGGTGAGACTAGTGACTGGTGTGAGCAAATTTGACCCTATCCATCCAGTTCTGGCCAGCCTCCACGGGTTACCTGTTGTGTCCTGGATCTGGTTCAAGGTTTGGATGCTCACGTACAAACCCCTCCCCAGTTTGGACGCTCTTACCTGTCAAGAGCGTCTTACCCCAGTGCCACCTGCCTGATCCACCAGATCTTCACAGGCTAGACTCTTCCGTGTAGCCACCCCAAAGGAGGCTCAAAAGTTTTCTGCAAGAGGCCAGGGCCTTCTTCATGGTGGCACCAACCTTCTGAAATCAGTTTCCGGAGGGGTTAAGACTGGCTTCTTCCCTGAGGTTGTTTAGAACAGTAGTACCCAAACTTTTTAAAACTGCGGACCAGTTGGGGGGCGGGATCCGAGCACGTGGGGGGCATCCACACATATGTGAGAGTAGACAGGGCATGCTTGCATGCGTGTGCAGATGAGTGAGGGGCGCTTGCAGCTGGGCGGGGCACGCTCACGCATGGATGGATGGATGGGCGGGGCATGCTCACGTGCATGCACGGGTGGGGAAGCATCTGTGGGTGGGGGTGGGAGATCTGTCTGCGGCCTGGTCCTGCTGCGGACCCCTGGTTTAGAAGACAAAACCCTATTTTTGGCAGCTTGTTTTCCTCTTCTCCTGCTGTTTGTAGAGAAACTGATTTCGGTTTTTATCCTATTAGTGTTTTCATCTCTTGAGCAGATAATGTATGTTCTAATTTGTTGACAGACTGCCCATAATAGTGATTTTGCACTAAAGTGCAGAATATAAATTAAATAAACAAATAAACTGTGCGCCAGCTCCACCCCTTCCTGGAGAGGTCTGATCTGGCCAGGGTGACACAGGCCCTAGTTACAGTTTGGCTGGATTATTGTGACGGGTGTAAGGCATTCCCCCCAAAGGGGGAAGGAGCCACTTTAGTTACCCCCTTCCCACCACCCTTTGAACCCAGGCTGGGTGAAACCTGAAGGGTGTGTGAATTAGCCACTATGGGCAAGCTTCTGACCCTATCTTTTTGCCTGTCACCTTTTCCCTGGACAGAGACTCTCCTGTTTGTGTTCTTTGTGACTAACACCAAACAGACTAGGTAGACCACCCAAATAACAAAATTAAGTAGCATAGCCGTATAGCCAAGGCATTTTCTTTAGGCGCTCCACTCCTTTTCTCCCCGAGAATCACGCCTTGGTAAAATATTAAAAAGTGTATTAAAATTTATTGAAAAGTAAACAAATTTTAAAAGGTCGTCCAGCTTCAAAACAGTGCAAAAGCAGCAAGAATCCATATTCAGATAACCACTCTTAGCTTTCTCCCCACAACGTAGGGCAGGTGAGGTAAGGAAGTTGACTCCGCCCAACCTTTCCAACTGAGGTCTACCTAAAAGCCAACCCCATAAAACAATAAAAGCTCGTTCATTCTGCCTGTGGGGGACCGAGCAGGAAGCCCGGATGGCCCACCTAGAGGGGGGGATGTGTGAGGATGAGGGTACCCCTGAAGGGCACTCCCCAGAGTGTACCGCCTGCTTCCTTGGCTGAGGAGATTGAGGGACACATGGACCACCCCGGAGGAGAACTTCAAGGGACTGCATTTAGAAGGGCAGTGGCAGAAAGGACAAGATAAGAACGAGCCACCGGAGGGCATCATTTTGGCAGGAAAGAGATAGGGGCGGAAAGGAAAGGGGAAAGTTGGGGGCAGTTAGAAAAATGAGGAGGAAGAAGCTTGTTGGGTGAAGGGGAAGGAGTGGAAGGAAAAGATCTATAGAAAGCCACCTTGGTGGGGTGAGACAAGAGAGGGAGAACAAAGGAGAAAGCTAAGAGAGCGGCCACAACGTAGGGCAGGTGAGGTGAGGAAGTTGACTCCGCCCAACCTTTCCAACAGATCTTCTATCTCGGGCATCACATTTTGATATCAGATTCAGCTGTCCGAAATCTATACAGAATCGGCTACGGCCCTCAGGTTTGGACACTAACACTGGGTGACTACGCCATGTGCTCCAAGAAGGTTCTGTTGTTGTTGTTTAGTCGTGTCCGACTCTTCATGACCCCACGGACCAGAGCACGCCAGGCCCTCCTGTCTTCCCCTGCCTCCCGGAGTTTGGTCAGATTCATGTAGGTCGCTTCGATGACACTGTCCAACGATCTCATCCTCTGTCATCCCCTTCTCCTCCTGCCTTCACTCTTTCCCGACATCAGGGTCTTCTCCAGGGAGTCTTCTCATGAGATGGCCAAAGTATTGGAGCCTCAGCTTCAGGATCTGTCCTTCCAGTGAGCACTCAGGGGTGATTTCCTTCAGAATGGAGAGGTTTGTTCTCCTTGCAGTCCCCACTGATCTTCATACCACTCCAAGGGGTTGTACAAATTTGATGTTCTCTTTGTCGGGCATGTCTGAGAATTGAGGAAAACCCTTCTTGAAATTTTGTCTCTCGTTCCTTCAGCTGGGCTCTGTGAGCTAGATCTCGAACTGGTGCTGTCTCTAATCAGGAAGATCTTTTTCTAAGCTCTTTTTGAGACTCAGGCCCTAAACAGATCTCTGAATAGTGCCTCCCTATCTTGCCACCCCTTGAGCAGGCTTATGTGGAACGTTGGTATCTGTTTCTTCTTCTTGGCCATCCTTATTTCATAGTCTGCTGGTGCTAACTTGACCCAATCTAACTTTATAGGGCCCTTTCCCTTGTGAAAACAACTTGGATGAATTGGAGGGCATGTTTTGCCCTGGCTCTAAGGTTCTAGGTTTTACCCTTCTGTCCTACCTTTTCTTTTGTTTCCATTGAGCTTGCCCTCTTGCCAAAGTGTGCACCTTCTCTAGATGTTCTTGAATCTCTAGAATCTGTTGCACCACCATCTGGGACTCCTCTTCCCCACTTTCCCTTTGATTTCTTAGAAAATCTAAAACTCTGAATCCGTCCAGCATCTTCAAGGCAGCAAGATCTCTTTCTTCCTTGGTTCAGAATCCCCAATGTACAACACTGCCAAATCTGTGGAGGAGGTGATATTATTACAGGAGACTATAGGTGAGCAAGAAGTAGAAAAAATGCTTCTTAAATTAAACTTTTTTCAGAGAAATGAAGTGGGGGTTGGGACAGCAAAGCTGTGACTTTTATATTCTGAGAGGGGGCAGAGCCTTTCCCATGGTGTGTCCCCCATGCAATCCTGGTGATAGGGATGGGAAGCAGTTGTCAGGAGTGGAGGAGAGAAGAAACCCTGCAGGATTTTTTAAAAGGGAACTCCCTCCTGAATTATGATCTGATCCAAGATGCAAACTCTCATGAGTTCAGCTGAAGAAGATCTGGAATCAGAGGGGTTGATAACAGCTGAAGAAAATGCTGGGAAGTTATTATCACAGACAGCTGAATCACCGCCAGATTCTCCTCCCCCACTAGCCAGAGTGAGAGATAAGCTTTGGCAGAGACTCACAACATGAAGGTCTGAGGCTCGCATGAATGCTTCTCTCAGGAACATCAGGTTGACCAGCCCTGAGTTTTAACAGAATGGAATGTTTCTAGGAATTAGATTATTGTTGCTGTTATATAATTTGTATCCAGAGGCTTGGAAGCTGAATTCTTTGGCTTGTGTCCACACTCCTTCTTATCTTGAACCTTGCTGTCTTGACCCTTGGCTTTCGGATTCTGACTTCTGTCTATGGTTTGTGTTTTGGCTTTGACAATTTGTCATCTGTTTTGTATCTCCTGAACTGCTGACCTTGGCTTATTGGACTTTTGCCTGCTGAATCCCCTAGGAATGTGACACAAAGCCCCTTATCTGCCCAGTTACTGTAGATCTTCGCTGTAGGACAAATGGTCTCTTTAGTTTCCCTTCTTCTCCCTTAGGAGAAGCTGGAATGCCAGACCTCACGTGCATGTTTTGGAGGTCTCCAGATCTCCTCCACAGTCTAGTGCAAGTGTAATTTGTTGAATACTTTATAAATTCATGAAATTTTGCAGCTTTCCAAAGGGAGATGGGGAAGAAGGAACTGAGAGTCTCATCCTGCTCCATCCCCATGCCCCCACTCAAGCAGTTATGGAAATATCCACCCAGAGTGTAAATGACTGACAAATTCTGAGGTGTACTGCAAGAAAATATTTTAGTGCACTGCAGCAGCGGGAAGTCTTAGCAGTAAATTACCACCAAGAACTTCAAATAAATGAGGTAGCAGCATGATTTTATATATCAAGTCTGTCTCACGGCCAATTGACCAATGAGCGCACTGTCTACCTAGGTCATCGCTTCTCTGTCCAACTCCAATTACCCATCCCCCTCTTCCTGTATACATTTATGATTGATTAGCACAGATTACATGGCATCAACAGCTTTATATCAGAATATATGTCATAACATATTGGGTCAACTTGACCTGGAAATCTCCTCCCTTCTTCTGGTTTTTACAGTTGGTCATGAGTGCAGCCTTTGTTCCAAACACGTTTCCTCCCTTCAGACCTTGGTGGTTACTGTTTTAGCAATCTTGTTAGTGTCAGCAAAGCATTATCTTGAAATATCACATATGGAGACAGGTGACAGCATCTGCTAAGAGCTTTCCAAGCTATCTTGTTTTCTAAGTGAAATTTGTCCATAAGTGGCCTTTATTCTCCATAACATGACTCTAAACCAGTGCTTGGCATCAGTAATAGGCTGGATGAGGGCAAATAAAATGAAACTTAATCCAGAGAAGACAGAGGTGTTCCTGGTTAGTCAGAAGGTAAATGAGGGCATAGGGATACTACCTGTGCTTGATGGGGTTACACTCCCCCTGAAAACTCAGGTCTGCAGCTTCGGTCTACTCCTGTATTCATCCCTAAGCTTGGATGCCCAGGTTTCGGTAGTGGCCAGGAGTGCATTTGCACAGCTAAAGCTAGTGCGCCCGCTGCGCTTGTTCCTTGAGATGTTGGAACTGGATACTGTTGACACATGCCTTAGTTGCATCCCGTTTGGATTACTGTAACACACTCTATGTGGGGCTGCCTTTGAAGATTGTTCGGGAACTTCAGCTGGTGCAAAACTTTGCAGCCAGACTACTGACTGCAGCCAGCTACAGGAAGCATTTAACGCACCTGTTATAAGAACTGCACTGGCTACCAGTCCGTTTCCAGGCCCAATTCAAAGTGGTGGTCATTAACTATAACCCTCGAAAAATCAGGGAGCTGGACAGGGAACAGATTGTATTTTTCTTCAGTGTGGAATGGATGGTCACTCTCGAATTGGCCTTCTCAGCCACACTAGACGCTGTTCCAAGGCCTCCGTACAGAGCACGTTACCATAGTCTCTCGAGACTGAAGGATGACTACACAGAATAAATTCCTATACAGCTTGGGTCCAGGCTACCTGTAGGACTGTCTCCATATATGTACCTTCTTGGTGATTAAGATGAGCAGAGGAGGCCCTCCTCTTGGCCCCATTGCCAGCCCAAGCCCAGCTGATGGGGACACAGGAGAGGGCCTTCTTGGGGGCAGCTCCCAGGCTCTGTCACACTCTCCCTCGGGAGATCATGATGGCCCCTTCCCTTTTACCCCTTCTGAAAAAAGCTAAGGACCCACCTCTTCAGGCAGACTTTTACCAGTTACAACAGAATCCCCGAACCCCATTTTAGCAGATCATTTTAATTTTTTCCATGTTTTAATGTTTTCATCTTTTAATTGCATTTTAAATCATATATTGTTTAATTTATATTTTAATATTGAACTTACTGTGTTTTTAAATGGTGTGAATGTTAATATTGTGAGCCGCTTTGGGTCCCTTGTTGGGAGAAATGCAACATATACATAAAACTAATAATAGAGACAAGGATACCTGAAATTCCTCATGCCTTCATTTTCCACTTCCCTAACTGTCTGTCTCCTTTGGAAAAGCAAAGCCATTCTGAAGGCTTTGACTCCTCCTCTCTTTTTTTAAAAGAAAAAATTTGTAATCCTCAAAATTGTAATCTCTCAGTATTTGAGAGATCCCACCCATACTGCTTTTCTGTATGAGCATGCAGGAAAAAAGGGAATGGAATAAAAAAAAAGTTTTCCCTCTCTTTCTGCTGACAATTCTGAGGTTCCTCCCTTTCGGATGACAATCGTAGACAGAACATATACTTTGGCTTGATCCCCAATGAGATTTTCTTTTCTGCTATACTTTTTCTCCTTCTCTGTTTTCACCAACAGGTAGCTAATACGACAGCCAGAATTCTATAGAGCCAGGTATTCGTTCACTGAAAAGAATCAAGTGTGAAGCAAGAAATGAAAATAAATAGGACAGCCAAACGGAGGAAAAAAGGCAGAAGTGAATCCAGCTACATCTCTACCTTCCCAGGGTCCTGATATTTGTGAACAACTGGTTGTTAAAAAAACCCCAAAAAGCAAAACATGAAAAAGGATGGAGAAAGTGTCTGAATGGAAAGGATTTAAATCTACATTAGATTTGAAAAAACACATCAACAAGTCCAAATGGAGGGAAAAGTATCCGAGAGCATGGAGCATGGAAACAGTGTAACTAGGAATAGCAATACTATATCATGTGAAAAGCACATTAAACAAGAAGAACCATATACACTCATGGAATGTGGGAAGAGCTTGAGCCAAGGGAATCAGCTTAATTCACATCAAAAAACTCACACTGGGAAGAAACCACATAAATGCATGGAATGCGGAAAGATCTTAGGCAACAGTACTTCCCTAAGTAGACATAGAAGAATTCACACAGGAGAGAAACCATATGAATGCACGGAATGTGGAAAATGCTTCAACCAAAGCAGTGCCCTAAGTAGACATCAAAGAACACACACTGGGGAGAAACCATATAATTGCATGATATGTGGAAAGAGTTTTGGTCACAACCAGAGCCTTAGTTCACATCAAAGAACACACACAGGGGAGAAACCATATAAATGCATGGAGTGTGGGAAGAGCTTTAGTCACAGCAGTTACCTTAGTACACATCAAAGAACTCACACTGGGGAGAAACCATATGCGTGCATAGAATGTGGAAAGAACTTCAGTCACAGCCAGAGCCTTCATTCACATCTAAGAACTCACGCTGGGGAGAAACCATATGAATGCATGGAATGTGGGAAGTGTTTCAGTCGGAGAGATGAATTGAGTTCCCATCAAAGAACTCACACTGGGGAGAAACCATAT